ATACAACTATTTGAAAATCTGGATTCTGAGGGTGCAAAAAAATCTCCATCTCAAAAGATTTTCTCAATATTTAAAGTGGTCTAAATGAAGTTCTTAGCAATGCATATTACTAATCAAAAATTACGTTGATATTTACGGTAGGAAATGTACAAAATATCTTTATGGAACATGATCTTTACTTAATATCCTAATGATTTTTGGCATAAAAGATAAATAGATAATTTTGACCCATACAATGTATTGTTGGCTATTGCTACAAATATCCCCCAGCGACTTAAGACTGCTTTTGTGCTGCACATTTTCAGAGTCACATTTTGTTGTGCATGCATTTTGTTGTTGAGAGAAAAGCGTGCAGCAATATTTACACATTCATGTTCGCTGATAGTAATCTGCTGCTTGTGTATTTAGAACTTATTTTTACCCCATGATGAGAATTGGTCTCACACACGTTATCGCGGGAAGACTATGCGGAGCGACATGGAGGAAGGTGGATGTGAAATTGAGGAGTTTATCGCTAAACATTTACATTTAGTCATTTTGCAGACGCTTTTATCCAAAGCGACTTACAATTGGGAATACATAAAGCGATTCTTCTTAAAGAGGCAAACAGATATAAAGTGCTCGTAATACCTAGTTTTAGGCATTGTTCAAATAAGTACAAGCTAGAAAGGGAAGGAATAAATCGATAAAGACTTTCTTTTCTTTAATTTAGGATAAACGAGGAGCTCCTTAATCTGGAACTGGTTTAGTCAGGACTGTACAGTGCACAAAAATCGCTCTCTGATTTTTAGTAGCACAGTTTTGCATGTGTATGAGCCTGTTTACAAAGCTGTTGTCCAACAAATATCCTTTATTGACATGCTTTTTCTCCAAATTAACTTAAGTCGAGTGTTTAAGGGTGCTTTCACACTAGCACTTTTGGTGTGCACCCGGGTTCGATTGACGTCAGAGTTTGGTACGTTTGGATGTGAACGCTGTCTTCCGCACCCACGAACCGTACCCGAGTCCGCTTAAAAAGGGTGGTCTGGGGTACGGTTCAAGTGAACTCGGGGTACGGTTCGCTGCTGATGTGAACGCAATCGTACCAAATCACGGAAGTGAACTGCTATTAATGACGTATTATTTGTGTTTTTCACTCACTTTCTTGATGAGTGTGAGTGACGCGCTGCAAGCAGAGAGCTGTATATGTATGTGTGTGTATATGTACTTTATCCTTCTAAAGATAACCAAGATTGCTTGAACATATATAAACCATATATTGTCTCAATATAAGTTTGTCTTCAAGTTTCCGCAGTCAATTTCTCTATCTACATTTTATTCCGCGATAACTGGTTACCTTTGTCCATATTAGGGATTTCCTGGCGCGTTGTCAGTGCTATTACTTCTGTTTGTGTGGCACAGGACTTTTTTTGAGATTGACCGTCTGATATGGTCACACAGGGCACCGGAGATCCTCTTCAGGCCGGAGCTGATCGGGCGAGATCATTATGGGATGCACGAGAGCGTCTTCAGATCCGTCCTGCAGTCAGACATCGACCTGCGGCGCAGTTTTGTGGGAAACGTCCTCCTGTCAGGTGAGGGTGATCCTCAATTTCATTTTGCCCGCATCGAGTAATTGGCCAAGTACTGGAAGTGGCACATTTCGCAGATAAGAATCCATGAAATGCGTTATTAGACCGTTTTCCAAGGCTGCATGATATTAAACCCATTTAAAAATCAAAGCATAATGCTATTAATTGAATCGCAGCGGTTTATGAATTCACAAATGTATGTGATGCAGGTTTACGATACATGCGCTTTAATTATTTACATGTGTGTAGGTTACCGTACGTGCGTGTCAGGCTCAGTTCACAGTAAATAAATGCTGCTCCGCACAAACGGTTATCATTTACATGTGTGGAGTGTCTCAAACTCCATCTCTGCCTGTTGTGCGTTTGGGTTTATTATAACGTTCATCTGGGAAGGCAATGTGCGCCATTTCATCAGATTTGTACGGGAAATCATTTACAAACCTACGCAAACAAGAGAATACATCAATATCTGTTATCAATATGCTAACTGTTCATCGTGATTTCAAAATAAGTTTAAACCCTCAGTCTCATGAGTTTACATTACTCCATGACCAAAACAATTGTTAGTGACCACCCTAGTGACGTGTGTGTGTGTGTGTGTGGCGCAGGCGGGAACACGCTGCTGTCGGGGCTCCCTGCGCGTCTGCGGCACGAGATGCGGCTCCTGTGTCCCGCGGATCTGACCGTGAGCGTCAGCAGCCCGAGCGATCGAGACTTCTCCGTGTGGCGCGGCGGAGCGGCCCTGGCCAACATGGCCGACCTCTGCGGCGCCTGGATCAGCGCAGACGAGTACGAGGAGTTCGGCCCGCAGATCGTCTTCAGGAAGTGCTTCTGAGCCGTCACTGATCTTACAGCGCTTTTAACACTTTTAGACAGGGTTTTTGCTGTTTGTGGTGCTGTAGAGTGTATTAATGGTGCCAAGTGTTGATGCGAGTCTTGTAGGACTCCATGTGTTTTTAGATTCCAAGAGAAAAATGAATGACCTTTTTAAGCTCTACATGCATACACTGGTTGTATCAATCAGATTGTTTCTCTTTGCCCCTTTAATTATAATCTAATCAATCATGTCTAATATGTAAATTTGTGTGTTTTAATATATCTATGAGATATTAATGTGACCTTTTCAGTGTTTTGGTGCTTTTCATGAGGCTCACGTTGCAACTATTACTTGCGTCTGTAATTACGTGTGACTCTGGTTCACATGGACATGAGGCTTCACCGTATTCGACGTGCTGCGGATCCTTTCCTCCATCGTATGCGGTTCTCAGCGGTTCCTCAGACACGTGTGCGTGTGTTTTGATTTGCTGAGCAGGATTGGTTTGATTTGCATGAATCTCACGTCACCTCTTTTCATCTGTACTTTCACTTGGGTTGTGTTTTATCTGAGGTGGTTTTGAGCTGCATATGGATCTGTCAGCGGCTCGTGTGTTGATCTCTGTGAGGTTTGTATGATGTTGATTAGCTGATCCACATCCTCTTGTGTGTTCAGTTTAAAGCGCTCCGTGTGTTTGCCTTGAGTGCACGGTGAACCCAGCACGTGTTTAGCATCAGTGTCTGTTAACTGGCTAATGTCTGGACCTTTTTACAATAAATATGATTTCTAAACAAGACTCTTCTTGTGTACTCTGTGTTTGTTCTTGTTGCCCTTCTGCTTGATGGTTAAGGAGTAGATCTGTTTGTGGCAGGTTTTCATGAGCTGGCTTTCCTGAATGCTGCCCACTAGTGCATAAACTCTCACTGCACGGCGAGATCTGAATGCATTTCAGTTTGGGTCAGGCACAGAACTCTTAAGTTGGCTCAAGCCAAGTCTACTGGCCTGAAAGGTTTCAGTGAAGTCGTTTGTAAACAACGAAAGTAGTCCAAACTAGAAAAAATCATCCAGGCTGTGATTTGTTTGTTTTTTCTTGCACCAAAATGACTTCATATTCAATATGTAAACATGTTCCTACAACATTGTCAAAGCAAAAAAAATAAAAAATGCAAAGGCACAAAATACTCTACTCTAGGTTTACACTGCTTGGGTTATCAGCTTAAACCACAGCATCTTGTACATTAGCATGAACTCCAGTTGCGTGATAATGCTCACTGAACGAATCCAACACTTTAACCCAGCACAAGTAAACCACTCTGTTGCTTCCAGGGAGGCCAGTTCACTTCTGGACGTCTCGGTCAAGTTGTTGATCTGAGCTCATGGTGTTTGGAGTTGTTTTTTCCCAGCACGTCGAGATGCATGGTTTCAGCCAAGCAAGATATTCCCTGTGCTCCTGTGAAATTGACAAAAGATCATTTCACACCTGTATCGCAACGATTCACAGGTGAAATGTCGGAGTAAAGTATGAGTTATGATTCGAGCGGAGCTGATGACATCTGATCTGGATTACATCAGATTCCAGAAAGTAAGTACTTTCAATTAGATTAAATTACATTTTTAATATTAAGGTTTAATGCACTTTGTATTTTTATATCAATATTGTACAATGCTATCCTATTTAAATCATTGTGCTAAATGAGTTGGGTTAAAAGTAATCTGATTATATTACCTAAAATGTGTAATGTAATGGATAATGTTACTAAATACAGTTTTTATCATGTAATTTGGAATCCGTAATGGACTGCACTGGATACAAGAATAGTTCACCCAAAACTGAAAATTCTGTTTATTTACCCTCGTGTTCCAAACTTTAATGACCCTTCTGTTTTATGAACACACACACACACATATATATATATATATATATAATACAGGTGCATTTATTTCAGTAATTCAACTCAAATTGTGTAACTTGTGTATTAAATAAATTCAATGCACACAGACTGAAGTAGTTTAAGTCTTTGGTTCTTTTAATTGTGATGATTTTGGCTCACATTTAACAAAAACCCACCAATTCACTATCTCAACAAATTAGAATACTTCACAAGATCAATAAAACATTTTTAGTGAATTGTTGGCCTTCTGATACACGAGTTTCACAATTTGAGTTGAATTACTGAAATAACGACATTCTAATTTATTGAGATGCACCTGTATATATGGCAGTGTATTGGCGGCTTTCAAACCTACACCACTCGCTTCCGCTGAACACTAAACACTATTTTAATGGGTTCTAAAGTGTTTAGTTTGTGACTCGTGTGCCATGTCTGGTGAAAAATGTAGTCTCTGAGAAAAGTTTAGGAGCACACAGCACTAATATCATTATACAATATGATCTTATAAAATACACTTTGTACATTGGTTCAAAACAGTTCATTGCAAAGGTCATAAGTATCATATGACAATGTAATTAATATAGTCAGGTCGGTTACCATGAGATATGACCCAAATTAGAGCAGGGTCCCTTTTAGGTGTTTTTGAGCTTTAATGCAAGTCACTGTTTCCATTACCTTTCTCCACAAAAGCTGGCATGCGGTACTCCTGTGCAATGGTGCCTGCACATTAAAGACCATGTATGCACATGTAGTTAAAAAAAGAATTTACAATGTTCAGTCTAGCTTTTGTGTACCTCGCAGCATTAGATGATGTTGCATCAGGCCTAAGGTTTTGCCTTGAAGATGTTCCCTCCATCAACATCAAATCTTCTTCCCGCAAACAGAAAAGAATGATGTACTGCTAGAGATCTAGGCTGCTGTGAGTAGCCACACATTAAAACACCTCTCAGAAGTCAGGGGCGTATTGAACTGTGGAAGTGTAGTTCATTAAAAGGTCTTCAAAGCAAAGTCTCTGCAAGGCTGCAGTGGTTCTGGCTGACAAGTCCTGAATATCAGTCGTTTTGCAGTTATCCTTGCACAGGTCTTAAAGATCGTACAAAACAAGCCTGTTGTTGAAATGCACAATACAAGTCAGAATCGTTGTGTTTTAGAGAACCGTGTCTCGGCATGATTTGAACAGCTGTTAGACTCGAGTGTGCACATACCGTTAAGAACCGCGATAAAGTCGGTTTTATATCGGACAGTCGCTATAAATTAATGCTTTAGAAAAGATTGAATGACTATGTAATCGCATAATAGTCATGGATCATGCTGCATCTCGTTCAGATCACATTTAAAAGCATAATATCAAAATGAATAATAATTCGATGATGTAATTGTTTAAGCATTGGAGGTGTAAAAAGTCCTTGCGCTTGTCAAGTTAGGGAGTCTCTCAAAAGTGCAAAATCAGCAATAAACCTGGTTAAATATGTGCATTATTTCATAAAAAACAAACCAAAAAAACCACTAAAACCGTGATCTGTTTTCATGTGTGGTTTCTATACGGTCCTCACGACAGTCCGCTAACACGAGGGATGAAACCCCAATAATGAGTCCAGGTGTAACTTCTCCTGGGTTTAACTGAAGTTTTCCTATTCTAAAACTGAAAATACTGAACAAAACAGACACATCAGTGTACAAATACACTAATAAAAAGCTAAACACAAACTACTGGCAGGTAAATTATACATTTCTGAAAGCAACAATGACACTCGTAATATGAAAACCACATCTTTCAGTCACTTACAGACAAACCGTGTCCCGGGAACACCGTAAAGAGCCATTTCGATGCGCCGTGTGCTCGGGCTACTCCTGGCTTTTAACTAAATAAAATGCCACTAGATGGCAGTGTTACGCAACAAAATAGCTTCAAAATAAAAGTCCTGCTAGTCAAAGGCAGCAGCACAGTTTGTTAGCAAACAGATGAGGTATAGATTAAGACCATTTTTAACTTTTATATGATTAATATATCCGTTATAAATATGTAAGTAAACTGAACGTCTTAATGACATAAATCTGTTTAACTTTGTGGTTGTTGTATCTAAAGCGCTCAAATCACCTACAATATTTTGATGCATAAATGCAACATATAATACACAACTTGGATTTTAAAATAGCCTAGACATATATTGCGCATTTGTTATGCACTTTTGACATTTTCAAATCTATTACACTTCCTGCTCACGTGACCCGTTGATGTCACACCAATTGCGATTGCTCATTTTTAATGCTTTTCTCAAATATGCAAATCAATATAACTTCCTGGTCACGTGGCGTGATGAGGTCACAGCCGGTCTGCTTTATCACGACGGTGTATGACGGAAAGGAGATGCGTGTGAACGAAGTAGACCCGTTGTGATGTCATCAGGTCACATGACCAGGAAGTTATACTGATTTGTATGACGGAAAAATTCATAAAAAATGCACCAATTGTATTGAGTCATGTATGACGGGAAGAAAATACGTGACCAGCAGCTTTATTACATTTTCTAACGCAAATAAACTATTTCCGTTACAATTACAATTAGCTTCAGGGCATATGCTCAGGAAACTTGTGTACGTATAATGTTACACAACCAAGCAAAATGGTGTGGTGGCGTTGTGGTAGAGCGTCTGCCGGTGAGCAGGACACGGCTCAAGGACCCGAGTTCGAGTCCTACTCATGTCCGGTTGATGTAGAATTGATTTCCTTTCTCTCACTCATTTCCCTATTTACGGTGTCCTATAGAATCAATGTTCATAAACAAAGCTATATAAGGTGTGACGCGTGTGCTTTTATTGCTGATGGTCTCCTATTCATATTTATTTAGCATCTTAACCACATACATTTTAAACAAGAATGCACTGCGCAGCGGAGGCGTGATGCGGCCACGACGCGAGGCGGAGTTACTCCTCAGGTGTGCATTACTCTTCTAATGATTCAACGGCCCGGAGTCAATTATGCAGCTTAGACTACGGTTACCACCTCAAGACATCGATCAGATGATATATTTAAAGGGTGTCGTCCGGTTTTTGTACTTAAATCGCTATTGTGAGCAGGATTATGTCTTCCGTCTCATCCAACGCCTCTTTTGCTAGTTCCAACACCTCATTGTAAAGCTGCTAATGGAGGCTTGAGCCGTTGATGGCACTCTGATGCAGTTATTAATGCAGTTATTAGAAAGAGAGCGAGAGAGACTACAGTAAACTATGCGGAGTGATACGGAACTGTGATGCGGTCAACAGAGCTGCCTGGAACTACGTTCGCCGTGCGTTTCCCTGAAGACACCTGCACGCCTCAGAACGCTCCTCAGCCAATCAGATTCAAGCATTCAGCGGCCCGTAGTAGAGTTTATAATTGATATAGAATTATTCATGAAGGCTGAAGTGAAAAATGTCTTATATTCAGGTGTGCGTAATTATTAAGCAGATTTTCTTTTACAGATAAAATGAGCCAAAAAAGAGATTGAGCTCTTTTAACTAAATTATTAAATGCCCATGAGAAATATTCCAAACTAATACAATACTAGAAATTGGGGGATAGTGTAGCAAAATAGTTGAAGACTGATTTATATATATATGCTTTATGGAGAGATAAGCTGAGAGTGACTCTTGAAGGACCAGCACCACATCCTCTTGAACCGCTGTCTGAAGAATTGATCTTCCAGAATCTGAATCTAGTTCATCTTTAGTCCATCTGGAGATTTTATCTGTAGAAGATAACCTGCTTAATAATTACGCACACTTGAACATGAGGCGTTTTTCACTTCCAGCCGTCATGAACAATAATATATAGATTATAAGTGATTAAATACAAGATTAATAGTAGTTATTAAGATTGATGTCGTTTGGAATTGGTCAAATGTGCTTGGAAAAACATATGATCAGAATATCAACTTGCATAATAATTATGCATGCACTGTATTTTTCCTCTTCTGCTGTCGAGGTAATGCAAGAAATGTTGTGATTGGTTGTCAAGGCAGCCAATCAGAATTTAGCAGCCTCGTCTCTGATTGGCTGGAATTATGGCACATTGTAACGCTGGGTTGTGTTGAGCACGCGAGCTGCTGGTGTTTAGAGCACACTAGTGTTTCACACTGCACGCGCAAGGAGAAGGTCTGCACACATCCAAAAACGTATTTTAAATGCAACATTGATTTTAGTGCTCTCAAAATACTTTGCGAGACAAAAATTTTCTCCACAAACGCAGATCGCGCGTGTGCAAAATGCACTTTTGTGCGCTCAAAATATGATCTTTCGCGCACAGAATTGTGGCAGAGATCTAACCCCATAGAAAAGAGAGCAACATTTGTGGTTTCGGGATGAAAAGTGTTTGAAGTGCACAAAGAAAAATAAAGACTTTCAAAGATTTACACGCACTGCAAATCATTTTGTCATCAATTTCTTTATTTTTGAGCCTTAAGACGACGTTTTTTGCAATCTTTTAATTTTTTTTAATTTCAAAATAATTCGTTTTGCTCTCAAACCCAGAATATTTGATTAAAGACAGAAATAATTCCAAAGACGTCCTTTTTTATGGATCTGTAATTATTAAATTTAGCAAATAAATAAGCACTGTTTTCTAAAGATATAGACTGGTAGATATATTTATTTAGAGATGGTTAACTCTGAAATACTAAAGGTAAGGGGCATATTAACTTCGAAGTATTTAGATTGTTACTAAACCTCAGTTATCTAACAAAACATGTTAGAAATTGCTTTATAAAGCATGTATTTTGCAACCATGTTCATGCATTATATATAGTTTTGGAAACAGTTTAAGAAAAGCAAAGCAAAACATTAAGGGATCATTTTATAAACTCAACCTTAAATAACGGTCACTTAAAAAAAAACTTCAATTCCAATTAAGTTATGCTAACAAATCATGTCTGTGTAACTTCATGTGGAACCACTGAGCATGACTAAATAAAGCAAGTTCAACGCTGCAGTCTATTGTCGAGCCTCTTCAACTGGCAAGATCAAATACCAGATCACACTAACCCAGCAGATCCTCCTGTCTCTGACTTGAGCATCAAAGGTACAGCAGATCTTTACAGGTCTCATGGAGTGGAGGGCTGCCTGAGCCATATCAGCGGTGTTCCTCAAGGGTCTGTGTTCGCTCCTTTTCTGTTCTCCATTCACACAACCTCACTGGGAAGAATGGCCTGGTCATGCACTATGAATGTTACTGCTTTCATGACAGATCGCTTGTGAGGTGCTTTATGTATCAATTTGGAAAATGCTTCTGCCAAATTAACAGCATAGGAATAATTACAAACTGTGAAATGGTACATTCATTTGACAAAAACCGTGATGTTGGGGCCAGTGTCCTCTACACAGTTTGTATAATATTTTAGTGACTAACACAACCACTGAATATGCAGAGCTCTCAAGACAGATCTTGACAGTTGAACAAATGGTGGTCAGTAAGAAACAACGCAAAGGTGGTCAAAATGAAAGAGCATACAAAACCAGATGCAAAAGTAAAAGGTGGTCAAGAAGTGATAAAGTAATCAAATGTAAACGTTAAAGTCATGTATATTCAGATGTTACCTAACGGCACTGATTAAACTCAAGACGCTCACAAGGCGAGGTTTAGACTGTGAAAAGCACTCTGGAGAAAGAACAGCATAAAGCAAGGCCACACCTTTTCATTTTACAAAATTTATTTGCAGGAATGCAAAAACACTGGTTATGCAGCAGTACTTTAAAATGCCATTTTTTTTATCAAAAATGGTCTGACGGTGATACAGAAATAATTGTGGAGTCAGTCATATTCAAAATCCAGTCAATACTTTAAAGAGGCAAAAACGAAACTGAAACATCAACAGAATCCCTTTAAAACCCCTGTTCGAGCGCATAAGAGAATTAAAGTTACCAATAACATGCCCAAAATGATGCATATCTTAATAATCCATCACATCAAATGTGATGAAAAGGCAGCTATGGTGTGCCCAGTTCAATGACCTCAAACGTCCTGGCTGCCCTGAGCACAGCTCTTATTACAGACTGAACGGGTAATGGCTTAGTCAGAGCCGCTCTCACCAGTCCAGTCTGATTCACAATCAGCGCCAGGGATGGAGACAGAGCAAAGCTCAAGCACAGAGATCGATCCCAGCTGATCTGTCGGCCAGACCGGCCTAACTGCCTCCGTCGAGAGAAGCAGCGGCGATCAGACCGGTACTCTGGACCTGCCTTTAAAAACGACGGTGAACTCTGCTTGCCTAGGCGGCATGTAGCTCACAAAAGGGATGGTGTTGGTTTCAAAATTGATCAAGCAGCCATCAACGTGGACCGCATGTACTTGAAACAAACAAAAATAAGTTTTAAAAACACAATTCATTTGGGGCGGGGGTCTGAGAAACGCAGCTAAAGCTTCTCAAAGTAGCTTCTTCCTCAAGTTCAAGCTTTTATAATCAAACAAGTAACATCCTCATCACCCGTCTCGCGAGCTGTAACTACATCCTCAGAGGCAGGCGTCTCGCTCGGCTCAGACTGAAGGAGGCTAGGCTTCTTTAGACTCATCACATGAGTGTCATTCACATGCCCAGTCTGACTGCTCAGCATCATTACAAAAGGACTATAATACACTAGGTACATTGGCTCTGATGTTGCCCTTGTGCATAAGTTGAATATAAAAAGCCCTGCTTGCATCAAGTCTCCGTATGTACAGTACAGATAGGGCAGTTTCAGCCTCCAGGATGAGGTAGTTAACCAACCCTTTCCAAAAAAACACCCTAAAAAAAGGTTCAGAAAAGAACCATTTTACCTGGAATGCCTGGTCAGTCACGCCAGGTTGTAACAATGGGAGGGGGAAAAAAAAGAAAAAAGGCAAGACTCAAACACAAGCTTAACATGCTCGTCCCCATGATAAGCTGCAGTTAAAAATACACAAAAATATACAACAGCATCAAGCTCCTCCAAGCCACTTCAAACATCTACAAAGTGCAAAATACATGTAACGTCAAGGATACAACTCCTTTGGGCTACTTCGACCTCCAGAAGTAACGGTAAATGGCATTTTCTCTCATGACACAAGGGTTCTGGGACTTTCTTATATAAACTTAAAAATAAAAAATTAAATACAAAAACAAAACAATACACAAAGAAGAGTCCACACACACAGGTCTAATCGTGACTTTGCGTTGATGGCAATCTTGGAGGCAGACAGGGAGAAGATCTGCTTCCGTAAGGCAGGAACCGAGCTGGACCGTGGAACGGACCTTACCATCCCATCCGCTGGCAGCACCTGGCGTGACCCCACTGAGCTAGTCAGCCTTCACTGGGACATGTCAGGACCAGCCTCCACTTTCCCCTGCTAGCCAGGTAACAAAAGGAACACAAATTAGAGGAGCGTTAACAATGAATACAACACAAAAGGAAAAAGAAATCACACAAGGACACAAACGACTACAAGGAAGATGTCAAAGAGAGACAAAGCAAAATGCATTCTACCGACGACACCCTATGTTTTGGCATGCACACGTGTAAGGAGCCTGAGAGAAACAAGCACAACAGTGGCTCGGATCGAAGCGACAGGATTAGGTGATCTGAAGGGGGTGGGAAAGTTACGGAGATACTAAAGGAGGAAAGCAAGACAGTCATGCATGGTAGCTTCCCAGTGGCTCAAATTTGGGACAAATGTGCAAAGAGAGTTAGAGCTTCCAGCGACAAAGACGCCTCGTCTGGACACGCTGTTTATCAAATTGTGCTTTCTGTGGCCATCATTGAGTTTAGCCTCTGTCCTCGTGGAGTTTCTCTCACAAAACCCCATTGAAGGGGACCTCAGGAGAGAAGGTTCCCAAAAATTGCAATGGCAGTAAAGAAAAGCCTCTCAGTTGGAGGAGACCGTGTGAAATGGGGTATGTATTTACACAAAGCTTGAGTGGAGAGAGGATGCGGACTTCAGCTTGGTGAGATCAATTTGAAGGCATGCAGAGTGAGGTAGCAGCACATGTCTACAGGCAAACCTTTAGTCCTTTTTCTTCCACAAGGAGCCATAAATTTGTAGGCAATTTGAAGAGAGAATTTGCCGAAACATGAATTTGAAACACAATTTGAGTTTTTGTACACTGGTGCGTGTATGTTTATTCAAGCAGACAAACAGCAAAGAATACAAGCCAAAATGTAAAGCCAAAAATTAGGATCAAAGTCCTTTTTTTTATCGTTTTCACCAAAAACAAGACAAGCTATTTGACTAGCATTATCTTTTGTAACATACAAATAGTAATTTTTTTTTCTTTTTCCTTTTTTTCTACATTGAATACAAGTTTAGGAGACTTTTTTTTTTCCTTTTTCATTTTCGTCCTTTTTTGTTGCTGTTACCTACTTAAGACATGAAGAGCAAAATTCCTATGAACATACATGGTACTATATAGCCAAATAGACAGGTTGAGCACAAAACTGCAAATTTAAAAATTTCAATCCCGATTTTTTTTTTTTTTAAAGGTAGGAAACGACTTCCAAACAAAACATAAAACAAAAACAGTTCGGCAGAAGCAGGTGGGAGTGACTACTGATCGAGTCCAAGCGGATTCTTAAAATATGTACAAGAAAACCCGCCGGGAAGAGGAGAGAGGCAACCTTTAATGGATTTGAGGGCCAATCAAGTCTCTATAAAATTTGGGACAAACGTGCAAAGAGAGTTAGAGCTTCCAGCGACAAAGACGCCTCGTCTGGACACGCTGTTTATCAAATTGTGCTTTCTGTGGCCATCATTGAGTTTAGCCTCTGTCCTCGTGGAGTTTCTCTCACAAAACCCCATTGAAGGGGACCTCAGGAGAGAAGGTTCCCAAAAATTGCAATGGCAGTAAAGAAAAGCCTCTCAGTTGGAGGAGACCGTGTGAAATGGGGTATGTATTTACACAAAGCTTGAGTGGAGAGAGGATGCGGACTTCAGCTTGGTGAGATCAATTTGAAGGCATGCAGAGTGAGGTAGCAGCACATGTCTACAGGCAAACCTTTAGTCCTTTTTCTTCCACAAGGAGCCATAAATTTGTAGGCAATTTGAAGAGAGAATTTGCCGAAACATGAATTTGAAACACAATTTGAGTTTTTGTACACTGGTGCGTGTATGTTTATTCAAGCAGACAAACAGCAAAGAATACAAGCCAAAATGTAAAGCCAAAAATTAGGATCAAAGTCCTTTTTTTTATCGTTTTCACCAAAAACAAGACAAGCTATTTGACTAGCATTATCTTTTGTAACATACAAATAGTAATTTTTTTTTCTTTTTCCTTTTTTTCTACATTGAATACAAGTTTAGGAGACTTTTTTTTTTCCTTTTTCATTTTCGTCCTTTTTTGTTGCTGTTACCTACTTAAGACATGAAGAGCAAAATTCCTATGAACATACATGGTACTATATAGCCAAATAGACAGGTTGAGCACAAAACTGCAAATTTAAAAATTTCAATCCCGATTTTTTTTTTTTTTAAAGGTAGGAAACGACTTCCAAACAAAACATAAAACAAAAACAGTTCGGCAGAAGCAGGTGGGAGTGACTACTGATCGAGTCCAAGCGGATTCTTAAAATATGTACAAGAAAACCCGCCCGGAAGAGGAGAGAGGCAACCTTTAATGGATTTGAGGGCCAATCAAAAAAAAAACCAAACCCTTTTTATAAAGAAGACAATAGAGCCCTACATTCTCTACTTCCACTGTTGCCCAAAAGAATCCTGATAAAACTCCTGGTTGTCAGATTTGTAACCATAGTTACCAGAATGATCGCCACCTTGCAAGGGTTGCTGTGCAATGGGTTGCGAGCCCCAGTTCTGATTAATGGTCTGGCGCCGCTTGGAATCTGGCTGGTTGTAGCCATCGGCTTTGCGCTTGCCTCCTACATTTCCACCGCGTCCACCCCGAGCACCACGTACCCCGCGCCCTCTCGGCAGAACCCCGCCTCTGGCTCCTCCGCGTAGGCCCCTGCTGGCCCCTGGCCCGCCGCCGCGCTGCAGGAAGCCCGCCCGGCCCCGTGGAGCGCTGGCCCCTCTGCCGCGCACCGGAGACGCCCCGCCTCGGGCCCCGCCGCGCCCCCCTCTGCCACGTGCGGGCGCCTGGAAGTCATCGTAGCCAAAGTACGGGTCGTCGTAGCCACCCCTGTAGTTATGGTAATCATAACCATAATAATCGTAGTAATCTTCATAGCCATAATAGTCTGGCGGGTAGGAGTAACCACCCCGACTGGCACCCCTGCCCCGGCCCCTGACAGGAGGCGGCATCTGGGGAGGCCCATAGTAGTAGTAATCATCATACCTGGGAGAGAAGAGCACAGGGATGTTTACATGGAACGAGCCGCTCGGAGATTGCTCACCGTGGAGACACAGAGCTGCAAAGCGTCTGCTCCTGGAGGGCTGCAGAGTCCAGCTCCAACCCTAACCAAACACACCTGCCCGAGCTAATCAGGGTATTCAGGATGACTCAAAACCTTGTCCAAATACCCACACTGGTGGTCTCTGCACTTCACTACTTATATGACGTATTTCCTGTATTTGGCTCAAGTATTTAAGTGAGCATGAAGACCACAAGTGTGTCAAGCTTTTCATTACCTGATTGGACACACTAATAGTGTTGTAAAAATGCAATAGCTTTATCTTATTTTAAAACCAACTTCTAAATGTCGGTTCAGTAGTCCCTAAAACAGATGACAATTTAATTTGTGGTGCTTGTAATTAAGTGATAAAAAGCAGCTGCAAATGTTGTACAAAAAGTCTTGCACTTTTTATTGGTGCAATGATGAGTAGTGGTGGTATTTGTTTTTCTACCAAATTATATGCAATTTCAAACTATTATATTAATATTTACTTGCATTGGAAAGGTTTCCGTGTCCTCTCGGCAAAAAGTCTCACAAATTATTATTTCAAAGCATGATGGGTTACACTTAAGCCTCAAATAGCGGTCCGGAGTGGTATTGGAGACAGTGTGGGTTTAGGAAACTACGCTTTGGCGTGTTTAAGACTTGGGACAGTCTTGCACACTTGCTTCCCGTTACGTGCATGCGCTCCTAAGTGGCCAAGAACACAAGTGTGGGTGTTCGGAAAAGGCATAAGTGCACTGCATAAGAGCTGGACCGGACGTCTGGAGGATAGCTGCCCTTCATGAGCAGGGCTGGACACCGCTGCTGTAAACACACAAAACTCACATTTGCGTCTTCGCTGCTTGACGCTGCGCCTTCCTCTCTTTCCGCTTCTGGTCAGGTGGCTTGGCGAACACAATCTCAATGTGCTCCCCCTCTAAATCTTTACCGTTCATTTCTGCCAGCGCCTGCAAACATCCATACCGTCACACCACTGTAACGACCGCTCAACAAAACCAGAAGAGTGCACCTGGACACTCGTTCCAAAGCATCTTACCTTGACCGCTCCATCTCTCTCATCGAAGTGAATGAAGGCGTAGTCTTTCAGTTTCTTCACTCGCTCCAGTTTGCCAAACTGGCCGAATGCTTTTTCAAGTATTTCCTCTGTGACGCTGTTTGCCAGGTTCCTGACAAACAACACTTTCACCTAGGAGCAGATGAGATGACAACATGAGCTCTCTAGCTGTAAGACAAGACGGGGCCTAAATATAAGCGCTGTTATATCGGTCTGGCATTTAGGTCAGTTGAAAACCCCAAGACTTTGATCAACAGTGCTCCCATGGCAGAAGGAAGACTCTAACCCACGTCAAGTCGCCATTAAACTGCCAGCATGAAGCCTACTGCTTCAGAACAGTGTTATCTGAAGAGAATGTGGAAAGAGAATCTAAGAAGGAACTGAGAAGGTGATCGTCTTTCAGTACAACCCCTTCACCACAGAGAACACCTTGTGGTTTAGCACTGGATCATGTTCTGACCTTTGCCATGACCTCCGGGTCAGGATCCTCAATAGGGTCGGCCCACTCGACGGTGACCACATTGCCCCAGACCTTCACCTTCCCGCTCATGAGCCTCCGTCGAGCCTGTGCTGCAGTTTTGTGGTCCTCGTACTCCAGAAAACAGAAGCCCCTGTTCTTTCTCTTATCATCCGGCTGATGGTAAAGGATGACATCAGTAAGACCCTCTGAGAAAAAGAGAAATAACGTTAAATGTAGAGCTTAAAATCTTTAAAGGTGACATATCATGAAAATCTGACTTTTCCAGGTTGTAAGTGCTATAATCAGGTCCCGGTGCATCTACCAACCAAGCAAACATGAAAAAGATTAACCCAGTAACTTTGTTTTGGGAAGCCTTTTTCTGCAAGCGTCTGAGAAAACCAGCGCGTCTGATTTCGCTCTCTTGGTGACGTGACAAAGGGATCTTATTATAATATCACCGCCCCTTAATCTGTAAGTTTACACCCACGACGCCGTCATTTTGATTTCGCAAGAGACAATGGTGTACTAGTTCTAACGTCATGATGATAGTTTGAGCAGAACATGCAAACTGTTCAGTGTTTGGCTGCAGAGACGAGCACAGAACACTGTTTAGAGCCCAGCCTCAGAGGAGACGAGAGCAGTGCATTTATTGATGTATTTACTGTATATTGCTGCTGCCACACAGATCTAAAATAAACATGCGATTTATTTCCCAGCTGTTTACCTTCACAGACATAACCCACTGTTTTTGTAACTCGTGTGTTTTTAAGGTAAGCTTGTGTGTGAATGAGAACTTAGTTTAGTACTCGCATGCTGTGACAGCCGCTTTCTGTGCGTGTGCTTCAGATGTGTGCGCTCAGAAAACCTTATATCAGAAGTTTAAACTCATATGGTTTAAAACGCATGATTTCAGAGCGATAAACATGATAATCAGAACCAAAACAGATGTTTTTAGCAGGTCCGAGCTGTAATGGCGCAGCTCTATTCTGGAAAAGGGGGCGGGGAGCAGCAGCTCATTTGCATTTAAAGAGACAGGCACGAAAAACAGCGTCTTTCTGCTTCGACTCAAAATAGGCATTTTCAAAATGTTATAATAAATGATCTGTGGAGTATTTCGAGCAGAAACTTCACAGACACATCCTGGGGACACTAGAGACTTATATTACACATTGTTCTTAAGGATTCTTTAAAGGAGACATATGGCCCTTTTTACAAAGCGCATTGAGAGGACACAGAGGAATGCACCCTCATTTCAAAGCAAAGCTCACCTGTGACTTTGGAAAACTCTTCAACAATCTGTTCTTTTGTCTTGCTCTTGGGAATGGAGCCCACAAAGAGTCTGTTGTTTGCCACTGATATACACACGCCAATATGTTTGCCCGGGCGAATTTCATGATTGTTACACTGAGAGGAGAAAAACAGGGATTGGATACTCGAACAACCGTTTAATTTGTGAAGCAACACCCATGTCTATCACTACCCAACCACATTTTTTCACAAACACCCCAATACGGTCTTCTGGAGTGATTCTGAGACACGATTGTGAATCTAGTTTGATACATGAAGACAGAAGCAGCAGGTACACACTCATGAATGGACCTGCATGATCTTACTAGCTTGACGGCCTCCTGTGCAGCCTCTTTAGTGCAGAACGTGAGGAAGGCGTAGCCTCTGTTCAGGCCACTCAGAGGATCCATCATCAGACGCAGGTCCCAGATCGGCCCTGCCTTCTCAAACAGAGGCACAAGCTCATCTTCAAACAAGTCCCTCGGGATCTTCCCCACAAAGATCTGAAATTTGGAGAGAACGGAGAAGTCAATGAGCCAGTCTGACAGGTTAGAGCCAAACTAAAACACCCCAGAGGCTACAATTTAATAATTTCTTCAAAGTATCAGTCTTAAACAGATGCACTGAGGATTTGAAAACAGGAAGGAGATTCAGGCCTTTCATTAATCACTCTATAAAACATGATTGTGACCAACTAACATTATTTGAAAAACATTTAACTGAAAAAATTCAGCTAGTTGCTAAAGCAATATTTCTCATTTTCAATTGAAAAACAAACAAAACTATAGTAGTACCAATACTAAAATAACACTGTGACTGGTAAGTGGCATCTTCCTCATTTTTCTACTCGCATAAAACATTAACTCAAATCAGTATGTTCATTTATTTAATTTGTTATGCTGCCAAGAATGGGTTAAGTGGGATAATGAAAAGGCATTAGCTTCATGTCTGGGTCCGGCTCATCCACTTGTGGTGCTTTTGATACTAATGGTGCTTTTCCACTGCATGGTACGGCTCGGTACGGTTCACTTTTGGGGGGTTTTCCACTGGGTACAGCACCTGGTACCAACTCGGTTGGGGTTCCAAGTGAACCGTACCGTTAACAAAACGTGACGTGTAAACTCTGCTGATCACGGATTGGCCGGAGAGAATCGTCACTACCTGCGTCACTGAACTTGCGACACAAACACAACAGACCCGCTAGATTTAAATCAGCACAGCCAGCGAAGGATCGAACACAACCGTTTTGAACGAGCGCACCTTTTTTAACAATCAAAAAGTGGTTGTTTTGTGGTCTGTTGAGGAAGTACAGACGTTCCTCTCGTTGATAGCAGAGGAGCAGATCCAGTGAGAGCTTGATGGGGCGACGCGGAATGAAAAAGTTTGTCAGGCAGTAGAGGCGGCGCAACTAACGACATGTGAATAATCCTGCCCACTCGCAAACGCAAACCGAGCCGAGTCATACCACGCAGTGGAAAAGCACCATTACTGTACATTAACATGCTATGTTTGGAACTCCACACAGATTTCAATGTACCTGCTAACATCAGAGCAGCCAGATGCTCTTAAATGCGGAGAGGCTGTAGAATCAGATCTTAGCGGTAAACTGTCAGCGTAACAAAGTGACTCCAGCACAGTGTACATAGCTCATCATTCAGACAGCTGATGTAGCACATCGCAGCATGAGTGCCGCCGTCCTGATGTGAATTACCTCTGTCCCGACCGAGGGCTGAGCACCTGTGTAGACAGACTCTGGTGGAGGGCCGCCGTACTTGCGCTGACCTGTAGTGACATCAAGGGTGTAGCCTGTTCTCTCAAGCAAAGTCTGAAAAACACCACCAAACCAATCAACACAGGTGCTCGTTTCACTGACGTGAAATGTTTAAGGCCCTATCAGTTTTATTTCTTCTAAAATTCCGTTTTTATTTTTCTGGACTCCTTTTTGAGGTTGAATTAAATATTATTTGAAAAGCATGTCTAATTAAAATCCCGAAACTTATACAATTTATCATAAACAAATAATTCAAAGTTTAACAAAATTACACGTTTAGGGCCCTATGAAATATTTGTATTTTTTATTGCTACCAAATTCTGTTTTAGCGCGTCCAATTATTCCAATGCATAAACACAAGTTTCATTTATTCTTACAACAGCCTAATGAATTTTTTTCCCCTCAGAAACTCTGTGTATTTACATTTTTCTGGTTATCAAATGAAGGCACAAAACAGTAAATTTAATTTATCTTTTAATTAACGTAAATTAAATGTTTTATAGTAAATCCCCTTCATTTGCCAAAAATATGTATGATTATTCCTTAAATAAGTTTAGTAATTTCAGTAGTAGTACTATGTATATTCTACTGAACAATAGTAATGTATTTATGCCACAATGTCTTCAAGTTAAATTAAAGTTAAGTTTCTGATTAATTCATCAAAACTTTGACAAATTCCGTTACATTCCGCTTTTAACTGCAAATTCCGTTATTATAACCGTTTTCATGTTAAAAAAGCCCAAACGCACCTTAATTTTTGCTTCATCTGGTCCTTTTGTGGCATCTAGAACTTTGGTCCCCTGTTTCTCTCTCTGCCTGTAGGTCTTCATCACTCCACAGAGAAAGGCACTTTTGTTCTGAGCGAAAGAAAGAGAGTGAGATAGTAAAACCTTCCCAAGTTTCACTACACAGAGTACAGACTCAGAGCAGAGCGAGAGCACTTACTTGCACATGGGATAGGTCGCTCTCTTTGAACTGGACAAGAACTTGCAGTGCACCTTCCTCATCGAACTCTTTCAGTGCTTCAAGGGCCCTCTCATCCAGTTCACTGTGCTCCACAAGGCCTGCAGGGAGAAAACCAGGCAAACCTCAGCGTAGCCGAGAGATGTGACGATCTGCAGGACGCTTTACCACCCGTCCAGTCAGGCTCGTGGACCGTACATCAGCGTAACTCAGAGAGAGAGTTCCCGTGAATCATCATTCGGACAGGGCATCAGCTAGTGACGTCACCAGTCACTTGTGATTACAGTAACAAGTATTTTGTCGTCTGATCATCCAAATATTCCCAGGTTTTCCACAACTACGGAAACCCCACAAAATCACCTGAATAGGCATCAGTGAAGAGCAGCACCTCGTTCATACAGTAATAATGATTATCCCAGGACCTAGGCCGGTCACGATAACAACTTTTTGCTGTGCGATACATTGCCCCTGAAATAATTGCGATAATCGATATTAGTCATTTTAAGACCATTTTATGCCACTGAATATATACTCATAATGTAACAGCATAATAATGCAAGAAGGCCTACACACTTCCAAATGACAACAAACTTTGAATTTGTAAGAATATTTAGATCATGGAAATTAAGTATCAGAATACTAGATGCCTTAAGGGATAGTCCACCTTCAGTTGCTGGTCCCCATTGACTTGCATAGTGTTTTCCCCATACTATGGAAGTCAATGGGTACCAGCAATTGAAGGTGAACTATCCCTTTACAAAAACTTGAATAAATAGTAAAAAAATGTGCAAAAGTAGAAAAAAGAAAAGTGCACAAAGAACTTGTCTGGAGATGTTCCCCTGACCGTCTTTTCTCTGTAAACTAAGAGTGCACACTATTGCTGAGAAACACAAGCGCTACTCGGCACTCAGACGTCCGTCAGATCCCTAAACAAGGCCATATCTGCAGCCGAAACTTGAACGAGCAGCTCATGACTACACCACGTTATGCACGAGAAGCTGCAAGAGACACAGGCGCAAGTGGAATACAAAAAACACGGTGGCATTAATTTATGTAAAAATAATGGGTATACACTGTGTCATCAAGTTATTGAGGTCATGTACATATATTGTGCGGCAAGTCGATATATTGATGATTGCGCCAGGCCTACTCTCTCACCCCCATGTAATCAGCATCTGTTAGAGATCAGCTGCAGGGGACATCACACAGCAGCTGCCTCTATTGTCCCGGCGTATGCCCAGCACCCCCAACAGCGGAGCTAACCCCCAGAAGGGCTGCTGTCAGGACCGGACCGGACACGCTCAGCTCAGCCCGGCGCACCGTTACAAGTCAGCTTCATTCAGCGCTGCAGCACCCATTTTGCAGGGAGACCACACAAAGTTGCTAATTACCTGCCAATTCCCTACGCAAGAAAACACAGGACACGTACAGTTCAACATGCATTGAATGTGATGAATGTCAATTTGGAGGGGTCAAGTTTGGGCTTACCTGCTAGGTAAATTTCATCTAGCTTTTCAGCAACTTTTTGTGGTAAACCAGCTTCTAATAAAGTGTTGAAGTGGTCAGAATGGGTGACTGCAGCAGACGTGTCCATTGGTTCTTCAGTACCATTCCCATTAATATGTTCTGTGGCCATGTCTCCAGAAATCTGTTCAAATGCAATGAGCCAAATTACTGCAGGTTTTGGTAGACAGTTGCAGAAATTAAGTGGGTATTCAGTTGTATGTATAGGGTTCCTCCATATTGAAATCTAAAGATCATCCGGTCTTTTCACCCGCATGCAATGATACAAACACGCATGAAGCCTCCTAGCCCACAGCCCCGCCTCAGCTACAGCCTCTCACAGCCACAGCCCGCCCGCACAAACACCCGTTCACACAGCGCTCCTCGTGATACCTCCGCAGAACAGCGAGCCGGCGCGCGGTGAGCTCCAGGCGGCACACTGGCCTGATGCTAAGCCGCAGCTGCACACACGCGGGTCTCCGGCCCTCCACAGACACACACCGAGCGAATTACTCTTCACAGAGCTACGAGACGACAACGCATTGCGCAAAACGTGCTATAAACGCATCGAAGCTGAAGAAAATCAGGGAAGCTGCGAGATAAAAACGGTTTAGCGCGTTACGTGGGATTCAGGCGCGTGGCTCTACATTAGCATTAGCCTGCTAACTCACGCCCTCACATACAGCATCAGTTCATTTAGTGTGCAGCCACGCGCTGTAATTACTGACGAGACCCAGAGATGTGCGTTTTTACGCGTTTAACGGTTCTGAAGGCCTGCTCTCGCATGGCTTGCGTGTCCGGTAACCCCCTCCCCCCGCGGGATCCGCATTGTTTCCAAACACCGGTCAAAGAAAGGCCTCCGCGGCACGAAACGCCACGGAACCGGGTCCGGAGCGGCGACACGCTTACCTGGCGCTGTTCCGCGGGTCTGATCGGGTCTGTCGGTGTGGATATGTGTTCTGGGGGCGGTAAGCGACTCCCCGGCGGAGCTCCGCTTGATTCCCGATAGTGTAAAATGGCGGGCGGCGCTGCTCACGCGCGGTTCTGCCGCGACGGGGTTTCTGACGCAGCCGATCAGGGGCGGGGAGCGCGAGCGCTGGCCAGCGGTGGACCCGTGTTGCCAAGTCTGCGGGTTTCCCTCTGAAGTGGGCTACTTTATCTCTGTAGCCTTGGCTTGTTTGTTCATGTCCGCGGGCTGAAGCCTGATATTTAGTCCCTAAAATGCGATTTTTACGAGATGGTCCTCACAGCAGAACACAAGATCCAGATCTAACTCCACCCATCTGCCCTGGATCTTGTGTTCTGCTGTGAGGGGATACTGACTTTTGTATTTTACCCCCGGAATTGGCTAGTTTTGGGCTAATTTTGAGTAGCAGTTAGTTTTATTGTGAAAACCTGGCAACCCTAGAATGGCTTTTTCACATTTTTCAGTAGCATTCTTTAAAGGGGTCATATGATGCGATTTCGATTGTTTCTTTCTCTTTGAAGTGTTACAAGCTCTTGGTGCATAAAGAAGATCTGTAAAGTTGCAAAGACTAAAGTCTCAAAACCAAAGAGATATTCTTTATAAAAGTTAAGAGTCAGCCACGTCTACCTAAAACGCCTCGTTCTAACACGCCCCCACAT